AGGGACTTCGAGGCTGTGCCGTTTGGATCGGGGCGGCGACAATGCCCGGGAATGGCACTGGCACTCACCACTGTCCATCTCACGCTTGCCAACCTCCTCCATGGATTTGAGTGGAGAGAGCCCAGCGGTGAGAGCATCGACACGAGCAAGGAGCAGTATGAATTGACGCTGCTCTTGGCAAAGAAGCTGCGACTGATCGCCACCCCACGGCTAGAACAAGGTACCTTATAGCTCCGATCGAAAGAAAGCTTGGAAGAATAGCTTCCTTGATAAACCATGAATAAGAAAGAAACCACGAACTTTTGGCACAATTATTAAATATTCTGAAAAAATTGTTGAAAACTTGGAAAAGAATAGACTAAGAATTAATTTGATTTCCAAGTGTGATTGAAGCTCTTGTTAATGTTCAGCTTATCAGCAGCTTGACAACATCTATGTTAGTGCTTGCAACGTGCATAGCTAGTAGGGGGTTGGCAGAATCTGCATTCTTGTTCTTCCTTGCAGCCCGCATAGATTGGAGCAAGGGATTGGACAAGTTGCACTCCAATGACAAGAAATCCAAAAGCTTATCTTCATCTTCGCTTAGAAGCGTTGTGGTGCTCTCCAACAACAGCTTCCAGCAGGTGTCCACATTCCTGAGCTCGACTCCGTGAAGCAGTAACGCACAAGCCCCAATGAATTTGATCCGTGCACCACATTCTTGCACCAAGCTTCCCCCGACCATAAGCCTGAGAAACATCTCCAAGAAGCAGACAAGGCAGTCTGGCGGTACCTGGCCCCATGCACACGCATCGTGAAGCTCCTTGAATATTCTATCAGCATCACTAGCCAGTTCAAATGGAATGTTCTTGAAGCCCCGGAGCGAGACGGTCATAAACCAGGTGCCAAACTCTAAAACTGATCTCCACTTTCTCTCAGATACCAAGCTTCTCCAATGCTGGCACATCCTCATCTCCGGAATCCCCGTTTGTCTCCAAAGCTTTTTTAGCCATCATCAGATCTGATCCTTTAGGGTTTGGAGCATGTTTTATTTTTATAGCTGACTGCTTAATCGTTAAAAGGTACTTTGTTCCAGGCGAGGGGTGGAGATCAATCGCAGCTTGTTTGCCATGAGCAACGTCAATCCATACTGCTCCTTGCTCGTGTCGATGCTCTCACCGCTGGGTTCTCTCCACTCGAATCCATGGAGGAGGTTGGCAAGCGTGAGATGGACAGTGGTGAGCGCCAGTGCCATTCCCGGGCATTGTCGCCGCCCTGATCCAAACGGCACCGCCTCGAAGTCCCTGCCCCGGATGTCCAGATCCGTGCCAAGGAATCTCTCGGGCCGGAAGAGCAGCGCGTCGTCACCCCAGGCGGAAGTGTCTCTGGCGATGGCGTAGGCGTTGATGAGCACCGTCGTGCCGCGCGGTATGTGGTACCCCATGACGTTGCTAACCGGCTGCGTGGATTGGTGGGGGACGAGCAGTGGTACTGCCGGATGTAGCCGGAGTGTCTCCTTGACGATGGCCTGGAGATAAGTTAGCTGTGAGAGGTCGTGCTCTTCCACCATCTTCGTCATCCACTTCTCGCCAAGAACTAACTCGATCTCTTCTCGGGCTTTGGCGGCAATGGTGGGGTTTTTTATTGACTCGGCCATCGCCCACTCGAGCGTCACTGCTGAGGTTTCAGTTCCGGCCGCGACCAAGTTCTGCCAAAGAAAAAGATCGTGAGTGATGAGCTACTGATTGGTCGAATTGAGAAACTTTTCTTACGGTCATAACACTTATGATATTTTTGTTTTGTAGTCGCTCGTCGCCATTGTCTCTCAGGGAAAGGAGGATGTCCAAGAAATCATCTTCGGTGCTATTTTTCTCACTGTTATTTCTCTTGTTCTCGTGCTCGGAGATGTTGTCCATGAGGAACTCGTGCAAGGATTTAGCTAAGGAATGCATACGATGTTCTGCCGGATCCAAAAACTTGGGGAGCCACGGGAAGTAATCCCCAATTGGAAACTCTCCACAGACCTCAAATGTACCCGCAATCACATTCAGAAACTTTTTTGCCCCCTCATCGTTCTCTGCGTCCTTGCCAAAGTAGCGCTTGCCCATGAGCATGAAAGTGATGAGATTGAACGTGAGCGCTGACAGTCTCCCACGAACATCCACGATACCCGTCTCGCAATTGTTCACCCCTAGTAGCGATTGGCACATGGATCTTACCTCTTCCATTCTCGCGCCCTGAAACATGTCAATCCGGCGAGCTGTGAGGAGCTCCAGTGTCGCGATCTTGCGCAAGTGCCGCCACGAGTCGCCATAGGGGGCGAAAGCGATGTCAGCGTTGTAGTGGACGAAGATCCTCCCGACGGCGCTCAGTGGGCGAGATGCAAAGGCGGCATCGTGGGTCTTGAGGAACTCCTTGGCGGCTGCTGGGCTGGAGGCGACAACCACTGGAACATGCCCGAATCGCAGTGACATGATCGGTCCATGGCGAGCCGACAGCCTCTGGAGCACGGTGTGCGGAGGATTTGCAAAGAGCAAGTGGAGATGGCCGATCAGTGGAAGCCCAATGGGACCTGGGGGAAGAAGAGACGATTTAATTCTACTCTTCCATAGCTTCCATAGCACAGCAGCGATCAATAGTGCTGCCGCCACAACCAAAACAAAATCACTCCCCATTTCCTCTTCTCAGCTCTATCGCTCAGCTGAAGATATATTTGTTTCAGCATAAAAGTTGACAACTATAAAAGACACGAAAATGGATCTTTTCCTTTGGCTACGATGTCGGAATCCATGACAAATTGGAAAAGCCAAAAAAACGGTGGACTATCTACCATTTCCATGATAAAAAAATCCGATGGTTTCAAAGCAATATACACATTTTTGTGTTAACAATTGCATGTCATTGTTGACAGAGCCAATCTTTTTCCCAAAGTTATGGATCCAAATCACGAAATGAGCTTCTTGTAAGTCCTTGAATCATGTTCTTGCTCTTCATTAACTTTCTACTAAATCCCTAACGATCTAGCTCCGATCCAAAAATTTAAAGCTTGGAAGAATAATCGACGAAACTGCGAAACGATGCGCACTATCACTCCAAACCGAGGCTCGCCATCGCGAAAGTAACTGCGTGCCTCATGTACTCGGGGAAACGATCCGGGAAGATGTGAAGGCGAGGTTCCTTGGTAACCACGGCCAGTTCTGCTAAGAAAAAAATCATGAGTGATGATACTGATTGATAGAATTGAAAAACTTTTCTTCTTACTGTCATGACATTTATGATATTTTCGTTTCATAATCACTTGTTACCATTTTCTTTTAGAGAGAGGAGGATGTTCAAGAAATCTTTATCAATATTATTCTTCTCGTTGTTGTTTCTTTTGTTCTCGTGTTTGGCAATGTTGTCCCTAAGGAACTCATGCAAAGATTTAACTTAGGAATGCATATGATGTTCTGTCGGATACAACAATTTGGTAAGCCATGGGAAGTAATTCCCAACTAGAAACTTTTTACATATCTCAAACATACTTTTGATTGCCTTTAAGAACTTTTTTGCCTTCTCATCGTTTTCTACATCCTTACCATAGTAATGCTTGCCCATGAGCATGAAAGTGATGAAATTGACGTGAGTGCCATCACTCGCCCACGAACATCCACAATCCCCATCTCGTGATCACATGGATCTTACCTCGTCCATTCTCGCGCCCTGAAACATGTCAGTCTGGTGAAATGTGAGGAGCTCCAGCGTCGCAATCTTGCGCAAGTGGCGCCACGAGTCGCCATATGGCGAGCCGACAGCCTCTGGAGCACAGTGTGCGGAGGATTTGCAAAGAGCAAGTGGAGATGGCCCATCAGTGGAAGCCCAATGGGACCTGGGGGAAGAAGAGACGATTTAATTCTACTCTTCCATAGCTTCCATAGCACAGCAGCGATCGATAGTGCTGCCGCCACAACCAAAACAAAATCACTCGCTATTTCCTCTTTTCTCAGCTCCATCGCTCAGCTGAAGATATATTTGTTTCAGCATAAAATTTGACAACTATAAAAGACACGAAAATGGATCTTTTCCTTAGGCTGCGACGTTGGAATCCATGACAAACTGGAAAAGCTTTCTACCATTTCCATGATAAAAAATCCGATGGTTTCAAAACAATATACACTTTTTTGTGTTAACAATCGCCTATCATTGTTGACAGTAGAAACTTGGGTCAAGCCACAGACGCCTAAGCCCAACCCTCAGAGCCAATCTTTTCCCGAAGTTACGGATCCAAATCACGAAATGAATTTCTTGAATCATGATCTTGCTCTTCATTAATAGTCTCTTTTTTAAAGTTGAACTTTTTCATCTAATTCCCCTGAACAAGGTTCCGATCCAAAGATCTAAAGCTTGGAAGAATAATCGAAGAAACTGCGAAACTATGCGCACTATCACTCCAACCTGAGGCTCGCCATCGCGAAAGACACTGCGTACCGCATATACTCGGGGACACGATCCGGACGTAGCTCGTTCTGGAGGCTGTAAAGGCGAGGTTCCTTGGTAACCACGGCCACCTTGCACTTCACATAGCAAGCGCCAAGGCCAAGACGTCCTCCTGCTCCACGTAGGGACACATTGGCGAAGGCGGGGTCGTGTGACGGCCATCGCCCTTGGAGCACGAAACATCATAGTCGTTTAGCTTGAGCACTCGTTCATGGAAGACGATCATGTTGTCCGGCTTGACATCGCGATGGAGCACTCCTTTGCTGTGATCCTCTCCGTGGCCTCCAAGCCCGGGACGTGCTGCGCGGACAAGGACTCCCCGTGCCCTTCCAGCTCTGCGAACTTCTGCATGGAAATGGAAAACGCCCTGCGAACTTTCAAGGTCCACTGTCCCGTGATCGACGAGGCCCCGGGTGAATCCGCGTCTCGTTGCTAGCATCCTCCCGCAAGCACACCTTGACGACAGCCCCCTTCCTTCTCCTCAAGAGAACAAGCGACTTGTGGCCGTGAGCCAGGAAAGAGAGCTCAGAGGCGTGGATCTCTTTTTACGGGGATGATCCCACCAAGCGCACAATCGAAGGTGGCAGTCCAAACAGTCGCTGGATCTTTTCCACGTAAGAAACCAGCGAGCGAAACCCGGCCGTGGGCTCCGCTGGAAGAACGTCGCTCAGGGTGACACTCCCTTGCTCGCACGCATCCAGCCACCTCAGTTTCATGAGCATGAAATCCTCCTCCTTGGACAATTGATCCGGCACTGGAAGAAACGATGGTGTTACTTGCACGGTGTTGGTTTCACGCCAGAGCTTGACGACGAAGAACCTGTCCATGCGCGAGAACAGGCAGCCGATACGAGCACTGCCCATCGTCCGGTCGATTCCCTGGCGTAGAGCAGTGATATTCAACACGTTTCCATGAGGATCTCAGTGGCTATCCTCAAATCCCATTGATCTTAATCCATGCTGGCCAAGCGAGGCGGACTCGAGCATCGCCAACACGCTGGGATAGTATAAGTCCCCCCCAGGCCTGATCTTGGCAAGCCTGAGCTCTCGCAGTTCTTCCAGATTGAGCTCTCGCAAAAGATCCAACTTAGCTCGCGATGGATTGCGAGCAAATGTTTGCCAATAGGATCTGTGGCACAGCATCGCTGGGCAGCAAATTGGTGAGCTCTCCCCACACTCGCCTTGCGCGATCCACATCCCGGTGGATCTGGCAGCCAGCCAGCAGCGCCGTCCAGGCCACCGAGTTCGCGCTCGCGATCCCGCCCGACCCAACCAGGTCCTGCGCCCGGACTAGATCCCCTGCCCGCCCCAGCGCCTGGATCATCGACGAGAGATGCTCCTCCCTGGCCGTGATCCCAAAGTCCGGGAGCATTCCCATCCCCAGCCGCAATCCCTCGCCCACCATCCCGACGTGATTGCAAGCTGCCAGGACGTGCGTGAGGCACACATCGTCGGGATCCAGCCCCTCCGCGCAGAGCATCCGGAAGAGATGGATCGCGCTCCTCGTCCGCGACTGGATCGCGATCATCGACGTCCACGACACGAGGTCGCGCTCTGGCATGCGATCGAACACCCTGCCCGCATCGCCAATCTCTCCATTCACCGCCAGCGCCTCGAGCAGCACCGTCCACGCCGCCATCGCGTGCTCGGGCATGGCGTGGAACGCGATCTTCGCCAGATCCAGATGCCCCAGATGGGCGAATCCAATCACCATAGCCGTGCTGGTCGCGGCATTCCACTCGGGCATGGATTCCAGCACCCCACCCGCGAGCTCCATTTGGCCGCGCTGGGAATATGCCTGGAGCATCGCGGTAGAGCACACGATATCGTGCTCGGGCATGGAATCGAACACGCGCGCTGCCCGGTTGAGCTGCCCGCTCGTGGCATACATTTGGAGCATGCCCGTCCAGGATACCAGGCTCCACTCGGGCATGGCGTCGAATATGCCGCTCGCGTCTTCGAGCATATGCCCGGGCATAGTATATGCCTCGAGCATCGCGTTCCACGAGACTGTGGTGCGTTGCGGCATCCGGTCGAAGATCCGCCGCGCATCGCCGGGATGCCCGCCGTGGGCATAGGCTTGAATCATTGCCGTCCATCCTACAACGTTGCGTTGCGGCATCTTGTCAAACATGGCCTTCGCATCGGCAAGATGCCCAGCCAGGGAATATGCCTGGAGCATCGCGGTGTAGGAGACGACGTTCCTCTCCGGCATGGAATCGAAGAGGGCTTTGGCGCCGGCGAGTTCTTCGCTCCTCGCGAACGCCGTGATCATCGTGTTGAAAGCGAAGAGATCCGGCTCGGGCATTCGATCGAAGGTGGATTTGGCTAGACCAAGATGCCCGCTCAAGGCATATGCGCGTAGCATCGCGGTCCAAGCGCAAACATCCGGCTCCACGGCGCTCTCTAGCGCTCTTCGTGCCTCCTCCAGGCTCCCAAATCGGCCATACATTCTCACCAGCGAATTCCAATCCACTGGATTCCCACTCGCGACCATCTTCCTGTGGATCTCGCGCCCTGTGGAGAGATCCACGCATCGCTGGAGCTGGCCCTGGAAGGAGACGGATTCCATCATCGCCGACGCCATTCTTCCTCTTCTTCTTCCTCTTGCATCATTCTAAGCAAGATCTAGCTGAGCAGTGAGATCCCATTCTTGCGGAGAGTGTCCGTGATGACCTTGATGTGGCTATGGAACTTGGGCGCCTTCTCCGCGATCTCGGCCTCCATGTTAAACCTCGCCCTGAGCATCTGCTTCTTCCTCATCCTCTCCGCCAGGGTGAATCCAACCAGCTCCGCCGCCTGGAGGCTGTTCGTCTTGGGCATCCGATCGCGCAGCGCCGCCTCCACCGACGACGCCTCGGCGTGCTGCGTCGTCTTGCGATTCCCCACAAACGCGATGATGTACTTGTTGTGGAAGCGCAGCCGCAAGAACTGCAAGATCGCCATAGCCGCCAAGAACCCTAAACCCCTCCTATCCATCCAATCTGTCCTGTCAGTAGAGCGTGATGCCATTCTGGCTGAGCGCGACCGCGATGGTGGTGATGTAGTCGTGGTACCTGGGATCCTTGTCCGCGAACTCGCGCTTCATGTCAAACTTGGCCTTGTGGAGGCATTTGGCCTTCATCCTCTCCGCCAGCGCCCTGCCAACGAGCTCCGCCGAATCCAAGCTCATCCGCTGCCTCTTCTTGTCCTGGAGGAGCGATTCGCTGCTCGTCGCCATCACCACCTTGCGCACTCGCGCGCTGCTGATGAACGCCGCCATGTAGTAGCGCTCGAAGCGCAGCCTGAGATGATAGCACACCATTGTTCCACCACTTTGTGAGAAAGAAAAACCTTCGCCCTTTTCTACCCAAGATCTAAGAAGATCTAAAGAAGATCTAAGAGAAGATCTGAGAACACTGCCCAAGAACTAGACGAGAGAAGGAACTTCTGAGCGCAGCATAGCAAGAATGATAGATACAAAGCTATACAAAAATTCCCAGCCCAGCCCAGGCCCCCCTTATTGCGTTGTCACACACCTCAATCGCGGAGAATACATACCAGGGAGTGGAGTGAAATCGATCGATCCGCGCGTCAGCTCTTCGTTTTCGAGTGCTTGACGAGCCACTCGATGACTACTTCGATGTTGGTGGAGTTCTTGCACGAGATCATGTAGCAAGAAACCTCCCTGTCCGCCAGAGATTGCAAGCTCCTGCGAGAGAAACAAGCCGTAAGAACAATCGTCTAGAAAAAGAGAAACTTTGCTGCTTGCTTACTCACATTTGATCGATCAACGCCTGCTTGGAGAGATGATCCGGCTTATCAATCTTGTTACCGAGAACTAGCACTGGTACTCCGGCTAGCGATGGCTTTCCCAGTAGATCATGGAGCTCGTCCCTGGAAATCGCGACGTTCTCTCTATCAGAAGCATCCACAACGTAGCTGGAAAACCAAAGAATTTTTTTTTTTTCGTGCGTTCGTTAGTCGTCGCAAGTTGGCGGCTCGAGAAGTTCTTACACGATAGCTGAAACTCCGCGGCAATAGCGCTCCCACATACTCCGGAAGCGTGGTTGTCCGCCCAGATCCCACAGCTTGATCGTCACATTGCCTTTGGTCACTTTTCTCATGTTGAATCCCACCTGCGAGAGAGAGATCCTCAGGTCAGGCATGGAGGAGACAAGGATGGATCGATCGAGAGAATTCCTACCGTTGGAATCATGTCCTCGTTGAATCCACCAGTCTGCGATGGAGGAGCTAGAAAAGATCAGCCAAGAAAGACTCTCTGCGCATTCGCGAATTTTCCATACCGCAATCACATTCACCAGCGACGTCTTGCCAGCGTTTTGGAGTCCAATCAGCGACAGCTCCATTTCTTGCGTGAAGAACAAACTAAGAGAGAGCGAGAGACAGAGAGCTCAATCACCAGAGCTGGGAAGAAATCCATGGATGATTCGTGCTCTTACCTGCGAAGCCAATTGAGGAAGGCGTCCCACAGCCCCATCGCCGCGCCTGCCAAATGCCCTACCAGACTACACCATGCGCGCAAAAACCTAGTATCCCTAATTTGCCTCTCTCTTTTCACTTGTGAAAGGTCACATTTCATCGTCCACCATAGCCTCAAGCTCCACTCAACCACGGCCGTGGATCTCGCCAGTGCCGTACGCCATTCCGTACCACAGCTGTCCTCCAGCGCAGCGCAATGTGCTGGAACAGCGGTGAACGTCCGATTCTCCGCCATCCAACGGGCGCGCTTTCTTTGTTTTTGATTCTTCTAAGCCTTGGAGCGCTTGTTCTTGCTGCCGCTACGTTGGTGATCCTCCCTTCCTCTTCCTCTTTTGTTTGATCGCGGGTTCCCCATCTTGTTCTTGGAGCCTCTACGTTGATGATCCTCCCTTTCTCTTTCTCGTTTGTTTGATCGTGGTTTCCCCATCGCGAACTTCCCCATCTTTGGGAACTGGTTAACCTTTGCTCGTCCAACTTTGAATCCGCGCTTAAATCCACGCTTTTGCGCTGCTCCGGTCGTAAAGTCTGGCACAAAAAGCCAGAAAAACTCCATCAGAAACAAGGAACTTGTCGCAACAAAGTAAAGTTTCGTTTACCTTCGCCAGGTTCTTCACCGACTTCCTGGCGATAATAATCGGCATCGTCGTCCTCTTCCTCCTCCTCGTGTTGTTCCTCACCATCCATGTCCACGTCCATATCATCGACTGGCTCCTCCTTTTTCTTGTTCTTCTTCTTGTTTTCTTCTCTCAAAAGCCTGACAGGCAGATCAGAGAGCTGAGCCAAAGAGAAAAAAAGAGGAACAACGCTCACTCTTTCCGTCGAACGTTCGCTTCCTGTTCTGCCTTTCTTTGCTTCCGTAATGCCTCCCGCTTCTCGAAAGTTTCTTTCAGTTCTGCTACTTCTTCCGCGGTTTTTTTAACTGAAAAGAAACAAAAAACAGCTCGTCGTCAGCAAGCTGCTTCCATACACAGTGCATGCAAACATACCATACTCGTGGAACATGACCGCTCCTGAACAAAGCCCCTCCTCGACTTTCACGAGCTGCAGCGTCATTCTAGGCCCGATCTCATGGAGCTTGACAGCACTCTGTTGTGATGCCGGATTTCCTCGTCCATAATCTTGTGGCAGCGTCACCCTTGAGGATTCATTCTCAGCTTCGCTCTCAGAACCATATCCGGATCTACGAACAAGAAGAAAAGGCCGTGAGAAACAATGACACTGTTGCTTGGCTAGAGAGGCATACTTGGTAACAAACTCGCTCACGTCGTTGAGCGTCCTGAGATCTGGAATTTTGGTTCGTTGGACAAGCTTACGAATTCCACGAGAAACCCCGACGGGCTGTGCGCTGATCGCATAGTGGCGAAAGTCGATCACCTTTGTGTCTTTGTCATAGTTCAAGAGGAGAACCCTTTGACAAAGCGAAAGTTTCACCTGAAAATCAACTGTAAATCGACGTTAGCTTGTGATGCAGCTCTACCTTTTTCACATCGATAACTGGGAAAATGTTTTGGAACATAATTGTCACAAGCTTCAAGTGAGCTTCAGCAGGATTGAATCCGTTAAGAACAACCTGAGCAGAAGGACGAGTCATAACGATCGTCTTTGCAAAAAACAAGTTTTTTTTTACCAAAGGTGGATTTTTGAAGATTGATGGTGGTGCTCGGTACCTCAGAAGAGCACGAGCAACGTCCGCGGCCAGGCAGAAATCATGAACCTTGAAGGTCATGGTCGGGCCGTGAGGACTTCGGACAACTTTCATGTAAGGAGCGTTTTTCGTGTTGGACAGGATCACAAAATGCGAAACACCCAAAGGACCAGCGACGTGAACAAAGTCCTTAAGCGTGTTCTTCCCAGATTCCTAAAGAGAGAGGTCACTCGCATTTCCTCTAGAAAATCTGCCCGGACTTACCTTGAGATGCAATGCAGTGTGAGGAAGCATCAGCTTGCGCAAATCCTGCTCCAAATTCCGGAGAAGCACCGGCAATTTCCCTCTGCCAATGACAAAGCTCCTGGGAATCTTCTCGCCCGTCTCATGGCTCGGCGCTAACTCCTTGTGCGTGTGCTTCTTCCTCTGCAAGAACAAGCAATGAATCGATCCAGAAGAACGAAAATCCAAGACGCACCCTTCGCGTGTGTCCCATTGAAGAACCCTAGCCTAGGGTTTTACGGCACCCAAGAATATTCTATTTGGTGTAAGAAAATGGCATATTCACAGAGCTTTGATAGCATATTCACATAAATGAGAGCTTGAGAAGGATTGCCAGGGTTGCGCCCGCCGCGATGTTTAATACATTGACAATGTCGTTGTTTAGCTACAAGGAAAATGGTACTTTGGTTAGAACGAATAGTAAGAAAAAATTCGTGGATTTACCCATTCGAATCCAGGCTTGCCTTGTAACGTAGCTCCCAGATAGCTCTCGAAAAAATTGGCTACTTGCGAAGATATCACACAGATCACCGCTCCGGAAAAATCCACCTAGCGGAAGAACACGATCGAAGATCACGATCAAGCGATCTGGAAACGATTTATCCAAACCTCATGCAAGCTCCAAGCAGCGGACGCTAGGAGGATCGAAGCAACGAGTCCAGCGGCAGTGCCTTCCAAACTCACTGCTCCCTCGGTTCCTCGCGGAACGATCGAAAAGTTCGTCACGAGGTACCTGAAAATGAGAAAGATGATCACGACAAAGAAGAACTCGAAAGAACTCGCTCACGTTGTCTTGCCGTAAGCTTTGCCGATCTCGCTGGAGATGGTGTCGCTGAGCTTGGTGGAGAAGCTGGCGACGAAGGCGAGCTTCCAGAGCGGGAGGAAATCGCTTCCACCGATCCCAGAGGCGGCGGCCAGCGCGCACACAATGCCGGCGCTCCCAGATCCCCACACGCTCGCTGGCCCGCGCTTGCCACTCCGCTTCTCCGCGATCCCCTCGGCCTCCTTTTGCTTGATCTTCACCTTGGTCGCTCCAGTTCCCTGCAAGAACGAAGAAATCTCTCGAAACTTTTCCCCCAAGAAATCTGGCGATGGATCGAGAGACTCACCAGGCAAAAGTAGATCGCGGCGACGAGCAAGCCTTGTCCGCCAAACGCCCTCCACAGCACCAATCCCAGGATGTAAGCATTGCCGACGCCCGGCCAGGTAAGGCCAGCCCTAAGCAGCGGGAATCCCAGCGCGAAGATCACACCATTGGCGACCATGGCAGCTCCCCACGACGCCGGATCCTCGGAGAATGCCCAGCGCACCACTTCGATCGCGCTCCTGGCCTCCTCCATACTCGCCCTCACGCTTACCGTCGATCTCCTCCTCGATCTCCTGAATCTAGGCTGCGAGGAGCTAGATCTGTGCGAGATCTTGCTGCCGCATTGCGATGGAACCAGGCATAGCGGAGGCCACCGCGCCACGCTCATCGCCTGCCCTAAATCCATGAGGGCAATCCATCGATCGATCCATCATGGGCGCCCCGCGATGAATCGCCAGCAATGGCTGGATCGCATCAAGGCCTCGAGCAGGAGCGCGCCGCGATGCGGCGAGATCTTGAGCCTGCTGATCCAGGAGCAAGAGCAAGAGAAGCAAGATTTGCCCGTGTGGAACAAGCTGATCGAGACGCTTGGGCGATTGGGGAGCATCACGCAGGCGAGGCGCGCATTCGATGCCATTGCCGCCAAGGATGCCTTCTCGTGGGTGATCATGCTCTCGGTCTACTCGCGGAATGGGCAAGTGGAAGAGGCCAGGAAGATCTTCGACGCCATGCCCGGCAAGAACACCGTGGCTCTCAATGCGATGCTGGCGGCGTATGCCAGGAATGGTCTCGTTGGGGACGCTAAGAAGTTCTTCGATTCCTCCATTTCTAATGGGAACCTCATCGCCTGGAACACTCTTCTCGCGGCATATGCCCAAAACGGGCATCTGGATCGAGCAAAGACGATCTTTGATTCCATGCCCACGCATGATCTTTGCTCCGGCACTGCGATGGTGGATGCCTTTGGGGAGATTGGCCTCCTGGGCAATGCTAGAAGAGTGTTTGATGGAATGAAGTTTCGAGATCTCGTGACTTGGAATGCTATGATCTCTGCGCTTGCCCGGAATGGGCATTTCGAGGAGTGTCGAGAGCTGTTTGATAAGCTTCCTTTGCAGAGCTTGGTATCTTTCACTGCCATGCTGGGAACTTTTGCGCAACAAGGTGATTTGGAGCTTGCAAAGATTCTTTTCGACGAAATGCCCGAATGGGATCTTGTGTCGTGGAACGCCATGATTTCACTGTATGCCCAAAGCGGGCATTTTGACAGAGCAAAGGAGATGTTTGATCTGATGCCCAAGAGGGATGTTTTCACCTGGACGGCAATGCTTGTCGCTACAATCAGTTCTCAGGGCTTGCGAGAGGCAAAGCTTTTGTTTGATCGAATGCCAGAGAGAAGTATCGTCTCCTCGACTGCGCTTCTTGCCGCTTATGCCCAGAGAGGGCATCTCCAAGAATCCAGAGACCTATACCGCGCGATGCCCGAGAAAGACCTCTATTCCGCCACTGCAATGCTGGGCGTTCTCGCGCAGCTCAGCCTGATCGGAGAGGCGCAAGAGATTTACGAGAGCATGCCCGAGTGTGATCTCATCTCATCCACAGCAATGCTGGTTGCGAATTCCACCCAATCTGTGGATTCCGCGAAAGCAATGCTAGAATCCCTGCCGGACAAGCTCGATCCTACCGCCTGGAACGCAATCATCTCCGCCCTAGCCCACAGCGCGCACGGGCTGGAAGAAGCCCGGGCGCTGTTCGACTCCATGCCCCAACGAGATGGCGCCTCGTGGAGCGCGATGCTAGAGGCATATGCCCGGCATGGGTATCTTTCCCTGGCGCGGGAGATATTCCAGGGCATCCCACAGCGCGACGACTTCGCGTGGAACTCGATGCTGGCGGCATATTCCCGGAACGGGTATCTTGCCGAGGCATATGCGGTGTTCGATTCCATGCCCCGCCAGGACTTCGTCGCGTGGAGCTCGATGCTCGCGGCATATTCCTTGAATGGGCATCCTTTGCAGGCATTGGACGTTTTCGACGAGATGAAGGCCAGCGAGTTTCCCGACGAGGTGTGCTTCGTGCTCGTGCTACTTTCGTGTAGCCATGCCGGGAAAGTCTACGACAGCGGCAGGAACTTCGTGTCGATGGCTATGGATTTCGGGATCCAGCCGACAAGGCAGCACTACTGCTGCATGGTCGACTCGCTCGCTCGATCCGGATTCGTGCGAGAGGCTCGGGAGCTTGTCGGGAGCATGCCATTTGTTCCAGACTCGGTGGAGTGGACGGCGCTGCTGGGGAGTTGCAAGAGCCACGAAGAACACCGGGATGGAGCTCTGGCGGCCAAGTCGGCGCTTAACTCGGCTCCGGGAGACTCGTCTTCGTATCTGCTGCTTGCGAGCTTTGTGTGATCACGACGAACGAGGCTAGATCATCTGCACCGAGGAAAAAGAAAAGTCACTGCTATACAAAACAAGACCCACCACTGTACACCAAGAATCGCCCAGCTGTGGAGCTATGGAGGATGCTGTTGTCGCCAAACACGTCGGTTACCTGGTCTAGTGGGAAACTCGAAAGCCGGTCTGGTTAGCTGAGTCATCTGTAAGGTGTCCTCCGCAAAGACCACGTCTGGCTTCGGTGGTGGCCGGCTCCGACAAGGCTGTTCCAACGTTGTGGTAGCGGTCGTGGTGGCTCTCACATTTTCGGCGGCCTGTTCTTCAGGAACTTCCAACGTTCGAAGCCACGCAAGGCACTCCTGGTCTCGCTGCGATCGAATTTCCAGCATCCGTTGCTTGTTCTTGCCCATTGAGTTGAAGTAGCTCCTGGAGCTTGTGCTCGTCTCGTTGCTTCTAAGTTTCTGCCGCCTGTCGCCCAAGCTTGTGCTTGGCCGCTTGTCGTTGTAGCTCTGGACGGTGACTTCCATCTCTTCTGTGACTGTTTCCAGCTTTCTGGATTCGTTCTTCACACGATGGATCTCTCGGTCTGATGATGGAGCAGCGGCAGGAGATCCTGCTGGTGGTGAAGCTTGTGGAGCTGTTGCTGCCGCTGCCGCTACCACCACGGAAGGAGCTATTGTTGCTGTCGCAACTGGAGGAGCTACCGCTGGTGGTGGTGCTGCTGCTGCTACTGTTGCCACTGGTGCTGGTGGCGGTGCTGCTGCTGCTGCTTCTGCCGCTAGTGCTGGTGGTGGTGGTGGTCCTGTAGCTGAAGGAAAACTTTCAGTTGGCTGACGCAAACTCGCAGGCAGTGAAGCCTCGGAAATGAAAGCCAGACGCGACGGTGGTCTTGAATAAGGTTCTGGTGACGGTGAACCTCTAGTCTTCTTTTTCGATGCCTTCGAAGACTTCGAAGACTTCTTGGAGGACTTTGAGGACTTGGACGACTTGGACGCTACCTCCGGCGGCACTGGAACGACAGTATTTGGTTTGGGCTTGTCACATACATCCGGGGCCGAGAGCTTTCCAAGGTTGAGTTTTGGCACCACCGGGCTGGCGCTCCGGCATCTTGGAACCGCTGCTGGCTTGGCTGAGTGAGAAGATGTCTGGCACCCTTGATCCACCGCGACCTGAGTAACCGCGTCACCAGCACCTTGACTTCTATACACAACGTTGTAGTAAGGATCATCTGCTCCTCCACCTCTCAGCTTAAGTCCAGGTATAGGAACACCTTTTCTAGCGAGTTCCATCAGCTGCTTCTCCGTCCTTGTTATTAATGCTGACAAAGTGAGCGTTCTCCTTTCTACCTTCTCCTTGCTGGCTTTCTCCATATCGACCAGTTTTTCGAGGCGGCTCTTGTGCTCCATAATTCTGTCATAAAGCCTGGTCATTTCTTTTGCCTCTTGCGTTGCCGATTCTGCCGCCTGCTTGCTTGCATCCATGTCCTCGTTGGCTTTCGTGACAGAGCCTTGTAGAGCCTACAGAATCAAGGACTTTACACTCCTAAAGACAGGAAGGTCGAATACCTGGATGGAGGCATGAAGCCGCTCGTTTGCAAGTTCGAGTATCTTGTTCTTGTCTTTCATGTAATTGATCTCCTTGTTTTCTTTGCTCAGTCGTTGCTGTGACTTCTTGAGATGCTTGATTACCTCCTGCAATCTTCCCATTTCCCCGGCAAAGACATCTCTTTCAATTTGGATCTCCTGAAACGAGAACAGCAATTTCTAAAGAGTTAAATTAATAAACCTGAAGCTGAAAAGCTCACTGACTTTTGAATTGGTCACGCGTAAGTCTCGTTCAAGCTGGTATATCTCGTCCTCCTGCGAGCTACAGAGAGCTTCAAACTTTGCCATCTTCAATCTAAGGCCTACAGAGATTATAAAAAGTAAATGCTGAATGCTTGGAACAATTCAGTTGTAGAACGTACCCTGAACAATAGCACGCAACCTCGTTGGAGCACCAGTCCGAGGACCCTTTATCCCCAGCTTCTCCAAACTATCCACGTTTTTCTCCAATCTCCTGTAATACAGAATGTCCACTGAAACCAATAAAGCCTTGAATCACCAACAAGGAAAATAGAACGCTTCTAGCAAAGAGAAAATAGAGCACCTGTTTTGAAGCCTCAGCCTGGACGCGTACACCTTTTGCTTCTTGATGAGAGCGTTTCGATCGTTTATCGCTTGAGAGAGCTTCATTATCTCCTCGTAAAGAGACTCCATGTCGCGTTCCTTGAGGATTTTCATCTTTGGCAGCGGACAAGGCGCGATGAAGGGCGTGGGAGGCCTTGAGGCGCCTCCCCTGGATATCCCACTTTGCGGTGTTCTAGCCCTGGTACCCAAACTTCCGGCGGTCACAGGCCTTGGAGGCATGTCTTCGATTTCCCCAGGACCCCATTCCTGGAAAACAAAATCATCTTCTTCATCGTCGTCCTCAATGCTGGACGACCACACTGGACTGGTGCTCGTTGGCCTCGCCATGGCGAAAACACCCGCTTTAGATCAATCGATTCCCCACATGCCTGTCTTGTTCCGATCGCTGGCAGAATCCTCTTTCACGGCCATCGATTCCTCACTACGATATTTCGATCGATTCCACATTCCTGGATCCCCAGACACTAGGTCTACGCCCACGCCCTAGACCTCCGCCAGCTGGATCGAGCCTGAGCTGGAACAAACGAATGGGATTACCTTCGCAGCTTCGCGACCGCGATCGATCGCCATCCTCGCCGCCAACGAAGAACACAGCGCCGCCCGCCACGCTTCCAACGCAGCGCCAAAGTTAGGAGGTTAGAACTCCCGCGTATTTAACCGCATTCTACACAATTCAAATCTGGCCGCACGATGGCCGCGACCAACGGTCAAGATTGTTCGAATTCTTGATCTTTGATTAACACAACCAAACTTAAAATCCTACCAGCAAGGCGTCTATGTCGGCAGGCATCTCCAAAAGATGCCTGTATATACTGTCAGCATGGCCGGATCGCTATTAGATTATTCGCGTCCGTGTTCCTTGCTTGATATAAAGAATTTCATAAATTTCTTCTATTGGGCACGCAAATTTGAATTTGAATGGATGAGATGTTGAAGGGTATATAGGGCTAGGGTTCTAGGAGGCAATGCGCATTGGAGGGCGAGCTAAATCTTGTGACAAGAATCGAGCGCGTCGGTGGTTGATCAGTCAAGCATGGGCGATCGGTCTAATTCCGTCAAGAAGTATTCGCTCGCAGAGGTATGAAAGATTCGTGTGGTGTCTTTGGTCATTCGATTTCTTTGAATTTCCAGACGCCGGGATCGAGTGGGCGGAGGCGCTCCACTTTTGCGGGGGCGCCTCCTACGCCCACGCCCATCGTCACACCGCCGCCGCCCCCACAAAGGACGGGTATTCAATCGTACCTTCACGCGCTGCTTTTGAAACTCGCAAGCCTTGTTGGTGCAGTGAGGGAAGAGCAAAATGTTATAGACGAGAAAAAACGAAAGAGTGAAGTGGCGAGGAAGCGCAAATCCACTGTAAGTTCTCTCGTTTTATTTTATGTTTTCTTTTTTCTTTCGTTCTTTGACGTGAGGCTTTTTTTTTTTTTTTTCTTTCTTCTTTTTTCGAACACAGGCACCACCAGAAGTTGAAGAACGTGATCAGGTTTTTTCTGCTTCTGCTTGACACACAACGGCAGTAAATGTACGTAGTTTTCTTGGAAATGAGCGACATTAACTGTGAATGTTTGGCAGATGGTTGTGGAAGAAAACGTGCAGCAGGCTGAAGCTCTGCCATCTCCACATCCCGACGTGGTTGAGGAGAACGTCCAGGAGCAGCCGGAGGACGACGACGACGGCGTCAAAATTGAAAAGGAAGTGGAAGAAGAGATGCAACAGCAGGACGTGGAAGATTTAGTAGAAGTTGAAGTACCAGAGGTTTGAACGAATCACTCCCATAGCTCCAAATGAGCAAAAACACTCTGTTGTGTAGGAAGATGCTGAGCAACAAGTTGTGGAAGTGAATGACGAGGATTTGCAGCAGTCGGAGGTGGGAGAATCGTCTGAAGAATCCGAACTAGAGGTACGAGAGCGTCTGAATTGTAATAGACGCAGTCGAAACGTTGAGAATGTATAGGAGACTGTCCAGCAAGAGGCCGAAAGTACTGATGACAAGATTGAATTGGTGGAAGACGGTTATCCAGTGAACGAAGAAGAAGATAAGGTAATTGTTCCTGACAAGGAGGAAGATCTGGCTGAAGAGGAGGATAAACCAGTTTCTCAGGAAAAGATTGTGGTGCCTACCAAAGACGTCCACGCAGCCAGAAAAGAAAAGAAGACGTCACTCAATAACACTGACGAGAGGGAGGCCAAAACACCACTGAACGATGCTGAGAAAGAGATCAGGAAAGAGAAGAAGGCCTCACTCAAAGCTGTTGAGAGAGATAGCGAGAGGGAGAAATCGCCGCGCAAATCACCACGTAAAGATACAGAAAGGAAAGAGAAGAAGGTGTCACTCAAGGCTGTTGAGAAAGAAGAACGAGACGCCAAGTCGCCGCGGAAGGATAGTAGGAAGGCGTCAATCATAAACCTTGAATTAACAGATGCTGGCAAAGAAACCAGGAAGGAGAAGAAGGCGTCACTCAAAGATGGTGAGAAAGAACCACTTGGGGACATATCGCCACGCAGACTTGGGGAAATATCGCCACGCAGAGTTGGGGAAATATCGCCACGCAGTGAAAAAGAGGTATGTGGGATTCAACTTCTGGTAAAGTTCTCACGTCAATTTCATGCAGCTCAAAGACGATCGAATCAGTGAGCAAAATTTACAAATAGTTGGGGAGTGTATGGGTCACGAAGAAGAGGTATGGTTTCTTTTTTCAAGGCCAAAACTGAAGTATATGATTTGCAGATGCTGAAAGAGCAGCAGCAGCAACACGGTAGCCTGGCAGCGATTCGCGTATCAGTACTCTACAATCAAACCGATGGGAATGTTCTGTTCTTGGAGGGAGGCAAAGATTTCGTCGATCTTCTGATGAACTTCCTGCTACTTCCTATTGGAAGCGTGATGAAGCTGCTTCACGATAACAAGGCGGATCTCACAGGACTGGGAGCTGTGGTCCGGCTGTTTCAGAGCATGGAGAAGCTGGAACCTTCGATCATGGTGGTGGACAAGGACGTCCTGACGATGCCAAAGTCCGAGAGGAGTGAACAAGAACACCACCAGATCGAGCAACCTCTTGCTCCTCAGCTCCAGCACGGGTACGTGAAAGAGAATCTAACTTTCACCATCACAGACGAGCTCGAGATCTTTCCTACGTCGACCATCAAGAGCATCGCGTTGCTCAACCAGCTCCAGGTGAAAAACATGGCCGACTTGAAAAGCATGGAAGTCAGCGTCGACACCACAGACGTAAGAAGTTTTCTTCTTCCTCGCTTATAGTTTCTCTCGATTTTTCACAGGTTCTTCGATTGCTCAGAGCTTCACTCACTCGAAAATCCGTGCTGAATTACGTTTTCCAGTGTCGTCTTCCAAACCAGCACGAACACGAGCGCTGCGATCGTTGCTCCGTGCATTGCAAATAAGCTGTTTAGTTAATGGCTTGAGTGTTCTTTGTAGATCTTTAGTTTTTTTACTCTCGAGCATTGCCACCGCGCAACACCTATAAATATTTTAGGTTATGGTAGTGAGGAGTCTCTTGTCCAGGGCTTTTCTCCGATCTATGGCGACCGCAGCCGATCGCCCAGCCACAGGTAATGCGCATCGTCATCGCGATTGTAATCCTCCACATTTTCGATCGTCCAGGAGCTGCCAAGATCTTGGCAGGTAGAAAGACGATTTCTCCCGCTGGTTCGTTTAGGGACAAGTTCGTCGCGGCGTTTGACAAGATCAAGAAGGAGCTACTTGCAGATTGCGATGCTTTCCAGTTTACTCGTGAATCCAGAGAATGGGTGTCCAAGGTTGAGCTTTCATTTTTTCTTTTCCTTCTTTTGGTTTTCTCAGTGCAATGTCTTTCCAGATGTTGGACTACAATGTTCCAGGAGGTACCTGTATTCCTTTTTTTTCGATCAAAGTCACTTCCTTTTGGGACAGGAAAATTAAATCGAGGTCTCTCGGTGATCGACAGTTTGGTGCTGCTCAAGTCCGAAGACGAGCTCTCCCGGGATGAAATCGAGCAAGCGTTTGCTCTTGGATGGTGTATTGAATGGGTACGTTCTTGCATCGATTGATAAAGAACTTCTAAACGTTTTTGGTTTCTACTTTTTGCTTTTCCATGCATAGCTGCAAGCTTACTTCCTAGTAATGGATGATATAATGGACAATTCACACACCAGGAGAGGAAAGCCAAGCTGGTTTAAGCAGCCTAATGTTCCTGAGTTTTGCGTGAATTTTATCAATGAGCTATGACACAGTCTTCTTTTGTGATTAGGTGGGTCTCGTTGCTGCGAACGATGCATTACTGCTTAGAAACCATGTACCAAGGATTTTGAGGAAGTATTTCCATGGTCAGCCATACTACTTTGATCTCCGAGAACTTTTTGACGAGGTGTTAGTTCCTGGAAAAGCAATCGTTTCTAAGTGACTTAAACTATAGGTGGAATATCAAACAGCGTGCGGTCAGATGCTTGATCTGATCACATCGCCAGCCGGGAAGGTTGATTTGTCCAAGTACGTCATGGAAACGTAAGTTTTATTTGACTCTATGAAGTATCCATAATGTTTGTCAATGCAGCTATCTCAGGATTGTGAAGTTTAAGACAGCGTTTTATTCTTTCTATCTTCCGGTGAGCGACAGTGATTATAAACCAAGTCATTGACACCATATGAGAATACAGGTTGCTTGTGCTTTGTATATGTCGGGTGAGAGTGACAACTCCAAGTTCGAATCTGCAAAACAAATACTACTACAAATGGGAACCTATTTTCAAATTCAGGTCCTTATGGTTCATTAACTTTGGTTGTTGACAGAATCGGCCCCTGCAGGATGATTTCTTAGATTGTTATGGACATCCTGATGTTATTGGCAAGGTTCGTTCCTTGCTGTTTTGTCTTTCATGTCAAGCTCACTGAATATTGCAGGTTGGAACAGATATCCAGGACGCAAAGTGTTCTTGGCTCATTGTTCGAGCTATTGAACGAGCAGATGCTAGCCAGAAAACGAGACTAGAGAACAACTATGGCAAGAAGGACAATGCCTGCATCGAGGAGGTGAAGAAAGTGTACAACGACTTGGGCCTTGCAGTGAGTATTTTGTTTTGCTTTGAGACTTTTCTCTTTAGCTGCTGGGTGAATGCAGGCAGCTTTCTCGGAGTATCAACAGACAAGCTATGGGAGAATTTTGTCTGCTATTGATCAGGAAAAGAGTACTCGCTTACAAGTATGTGGTGTTTTCGAGTTTGTTACTTCCTGAATACTCTCTAATTACCCTGCAGGGAGTTCTGTCGTTATTTCTAGAAAAAATTTATAAGCGCCAAAAGTAGAATTGCTTCTCTTGCCGTTCCTGCCAGCTGTTATACGCGTTTGTCATTTGTTTCGTAGTTAGTATTGGGCTTCGTGCAATGCGGAGCATAGAGGATGATTTTAGCTGTAAATATCCTTCGCGTTTCTTGCACTAAATGTTGTCCCCATCAAAGCCAACAAAAGCTGCGCCTATCTGCTCTTTCGACGACTTCTAAATTTTTATTATGACACTTTTTCCAGCTATCTTGTTGTTATAGGTCGTTGATTGAGCTCCTCTCGTTTCATCGTGAAGAACGATGCGAAAATTTTGTGCTCATCAGTAAAGTGTTTACTTCACTTTCAAGCGTTGAGACGGCCCACAGCAATGGTTTTTATAGTCGAATTTGCTGTGATGGTGATTCTCGGAACTCTTCAACAGGCACACGGATCAGGTATGCCCGGGGAGATTGAGAAAGAAATTGATATTTGACATTTGATCATTGTGCAGCCTGTCCTCTGAATTTCGACTATTTCTCAAAGCCTGGCAGCAATTTTCTCTGTGGGAGCACAGCGAACTATCTCATTCGCGTTCTTGCTTTTCATACAAACACGACAGCTTCTCCTCGACCGCTTTTCCTGGGCCTCGATGGGTGCTGGGAAACTATCAGCAAGCTGGACACCTCCCCCGAGTGTAAGAGTTCTTTGGAGATATATTCGCCAGATTATGCATCTCCTTGCAAGTTTGCTACTTTGCAAGAGCTCGAAGGGAACTTCACGATTGCAAACATCACGTTTGACGGGCTCCTCAAGGTCTGCACAAGCTCCTTGTCTTTCTGGGAACTTTTTACATCAAATCTCCGGAGCCTCTCAAACGTGACGAAAGATACACCATGGGTGTGTGAGACTGCGCTGCAAATCGCCCTGCTCAGCACCGATGTTTTGAACGACAACTGGGCGCGGAAATTCGAGAATCTTTCCTTCTTCTTTCCATTACCTCGAGCTTCTCGAAAGAGAAACAAAAGGAAAGGTACTCTTTTTGTTCTTCTCTTTTCTCTCTTCCACATGTTGTATTACAGAGCTTGCATACACAGTATCCCTCATACTTGTCTGCTCGGCCATGCCCTTCGTGGTACTTTCATATTTCATTTGGAAAGTCCTTAAAAATCCCAGGAGTGCTTCGATTCACAATGTTCGTGTAAGAAAACTTCCACCATTTCACGACTTTGGATACTCACTCTTTGTTTGTCTAGGAGCTTGAAGAAGAAGACAGCAGCAATAAAACAGTGGAAGGTCCATGACTATTCAATCCAGCTCTTTGCTCTCTTGAGGCTCACAAGCTTTTCCACAACCGCGGGCACCACCCATGGAAAGCTCAAAGACTCGACGTTACTCCCTTTACGAAACTCCGGATGATACGTGACATGGTACCAAGCACACGCCTTCGCCAATTGGTGCTCGTTTAGTCCGGCCTCAAACCATCTCCCAGCTTCCTTGGCAAGAGACTTCATGGCACAAGCGATCCTATCTCTCGTATCGTTACGCTTCGTCTTCTCGTTGGCTTTCCCGAGGCACAGCACATTCCCAGTTACAATCTCGGCCTCGGTTATCTCATAGTGTCGCAGCAAACGCTCCAGCTTCGTATCATAGAGCTCCTTGAGCAACCGTGCCTCGGCGACATGCTGCTCGTATCCATCTACGATCAAGCTACGATCAAACTCTTCATCCATCTCCTTCGGCGATGCTGCTACTGCTGATGATCTCTGCGAGAAAATTCTTCCATTGGACTGGAGCGACCGGTAGAGCTTCCCCAGCACACTCTGCGAAGTATACGTCGATTTAAACTCGTTCTCCATGAAGTCGGGATAGTCCCTGGGACGAAGATCTACGGGAATCACGGCCGGGATGCCAGTCTTTGCAAAGTCGACGGCGGTTGATGCGAGCCTCGCGAGTTCCAAGCATTTTGGATCCTTGGCTCTTTCCAGCTCCTTATCAGCGTGAACAAGGTGAGCATTCGAGATCACTCCCAGGCTATCGTGAACCATCGAGTCGACGAAGAACTGCTGGATTTCCTGGAAAGAAAAAGAAAGCTAAGCGCTGAGAACTTGAGAGGATTCAAGCTTTACCTCTAGAGTCACTGAATGGTCGAGCTTGGCGGCGGTACCGGGCTCGTAATCCATCGGCTCGTGAGTCACTGGTGGTACGAGAGATTTGTCCCAGGTGACGAAGTAGAGATCACCATCGAGATCACTTCCGGAGCACTCGTTGGGATGAGGCCTGGAAGATCATACTATCAAACCAAGACGGAAGAACAATGGTAACTTTGCAAGAAGTACCTCTTTCCTCGCTGTGGGAAGACCACGCAGTCGATCATATGGTGAAGTCCCGGAACGTCCACGGCTTCCAAGACCAAGAGATCTCCCGGGTGTAAGCAAGGATTCTTGGTGACGACGACTTTCCCGAGAACAACGCAGGCGCTCTCGCTCCGTGTCACTCCCCTGCGAGGCCTCGCATCGTCCAGGCCATCGTCCACGACTCTGCGAGTTCCTGGCGTTGGAGACACTTGCACGAAGACCTGTCCGTAGTCGAGAACTCCAGTCTCGTCCAGGCATCCCAGCAAGCAGCGGCCTTTCGGGACGTAGATCCGAGACTTCGTCCGGAGGAGGTAGAGCTGCAGCGATCGAAAGTTGTCCAGCAACCTCCGCAAGAATGGCTCGTGAGCTGGTTTATATCCCGCCTGGAGCATCGCCACCATGATCGAGTGAACCTCGCCACCCGAGGACGAAGATCTCAAGACTTCAATCGCTGTTTGTGGATCTCTCAGCATCTCATCGAGGATTTTGAGCTCCTCGTTTTGCATCCGCTCGAACACCTCGTCTGGAACTCCGAGAGTCGTCATGAGGATGATACTCTGCCGGTTCAAGTAGTATGGAGCGTACTGCGACGCCTTGAGAACGTCCAGGCCTGTTCTTTCTGAGGGGAACTTTAGCATGCTCGGTCTCAGGGAGAGCTTGGTCGAGCACGTTGGATCAACCGCAACAACACCTTTGTAGCCAGCGTAGCGAATCTGGAGTGCCGAAGGAACCACCGGCATGTTGCAAGCTCTTGCCACGCTCGTCGCAAACGCCTTGGAGATTTTCCCGATTCCATCCGAGAAGCAGTAGCGCGTGCCGCAGTAGATGTCTTCCACGGACGAGAGCTCGTCCTCCAGCACCTCGAGCGAGCTCCTGGACGACGAGAAGCTCTGGC